TCTTTATTCACATCGAGTCATTCACGCAAGTCATCTCCTAACAATACATTGTGGTCTGACATTTAAACAAATCGTATTATTTACAATAGCAACATTCAAACTTTCGCCGTATGTGATATCTTATCCGTAACACATCAAATTTTGTTACATTTGAATGCAATAATTTGTTTATAGGGATATACAAAGGTCAACCATGTTCAATAAATTTAGTTCTTTTATCTTAAAATAATAATATTAACTATCATCATGATTACAGCCTAATAGTAGAGTCCTCTACTGAACATAGGCCTCCAACGTTGATTGACTTATAGCGACTAAAAACTTAAGTTGAACGTTTTAAAACCCGAAACAAATAGAGTTGATGATCTTTAGAAGGTTACATCGATTTTGATAAAACATGTCTGAAACCACTACTAGAAAACCTGTTTTATTACAAAAAAAATCGGTCCAACAAAATCAACCCAAATCGGTTCACTCTTTTAAGATCCACAGGCAGGACACAAACAGAGAGACATAGTGGTCAAACTTATAACACCCCTCTTTTTGCGTTGGGGATTTAAAATTGTGTAGTGGTGGCGTAAGCAAATACCCCAGGGGTTCCCAAGCTTTTTAAGTTCGCGGCACACTTACATATTTAGTATTTTATCTCGGCGCCCTAGCTTGTCGAAATAGGGTAGAAATATTAAAACATCCACAGTATGAATCTGAGTTTTATATTTACATTGACACACAGGAATACATTTATTATTAAAATAAATAGGAAACAATATACAATGGCAACTTAGACAATGTAATGTTTGATCTTGGTGATCTCCATTCCTATTACATATACCACAAAGCGAGGACTTGAAATCGCTACTGTCATTTCTTGCTCCACATTGATTTTTGAGCGAAATTTACTTTATATTACAGCTAAAGCTAAAAATCCGGTTTATTTTGTACCTGCTAATACATAAAGTTAGTTTCCGGAGAATGGTAAACAGGAGCGTCTCCCGGCGACCCTCTTTACTCTCTACGGCGCAACAGGGTGCCGCAGCGCATACTTTGGGAACCCCTGCACTACCCCATTTAGTCCCGTGACGTGAGTGTCGTAAGAGAAGACAGAGGAAAACTAAAACAGAGGATATTGAGCTGCATCTTCCAGATAACAAATCTATAACAATAACAAACTGCGGTGGCCAACTAGCCCGAGCGTGGCAAGTATTGCAAAATGATGAATAATAACAATGTACCTTTTTACTGAACACAGGATTCCCTCAACAATTGATTACTTGGCAGGTGGGTTGACAGCCACAGTTATTTATTGTTTTGAGGTATCGTAAGCCATACGATATAATAACTACCTATTTATTTCTCGTCACAAACGGCATAAAAGAAATATTAGTGTTATATCTATCAACACCGACCCACTAAAATTCACCGACCCATTAAAAGGAGAAATTGCTTTCAACCGCCCATGGTGTGCCCTTTTCACATTTTGTGTTGCATTTTATTTTTTCTCGTATTTGTGTTATGATGTATTTAATAAAAAATTACCTGTCTATCAATCTACATTTGTATTAAACAATATGATGTCATTCGTGGAAAACTGGTGTAGATTCAATGACCCCTATTACAGGCCTGGCAGACAGGCACGTTTCTAATGAACCCTAAAAACCTGGACCTGGAAATTAGTTATTGGATTTCTGTCGAGAAATTCTCAGTTGAAGTCCGGAGTCAAGATGTTGGCAAGGTTTCGAAAGCACGTGGAGCCGTCTTGCGCCTGACAAAGGTATGGACGCCACAGACGGTCAGTTCAACTGATCATTCCAACTGATCAGTTCTAACTAAAACTGTTGATATTTTTTAAAATAGTGGATTTTCGATTTATTGATCTTTATAAATATATTAATATCGGAGTTTTACATATAAGTTTATTTATGGATACATCTAAATCCGATATTTTAAAAAATATCAACAGTTTTAGCTTGAATTGATCAGTTGGAATGATCAGTTGAACTGACCGTGTGTGACCACCATAACATTCTCCATAGTTGCGTATAAACGAAGTGTATTCTCCCACCCCGCCACTGTACTTCAAACTATTTGATATTATAGTACTAAAAAAATATCAGCATCACTATAATTAAACTTACTTTTATTATCAACTTCGAAAAATTAATTATGGCTAATGAAACATTCAAATAAGCTGAAAAACCTTGTAGCACAAGTGCAGCTTATGGGTTATTACAGTAGTTAAAATGCGATTGAATTTAACTACTGTCATACTGCACACTTTTACATAGACTTTTTAGTTTTTATTTCCGTTCCGTGGACCATTATGTTCCTGTCTTATGAAAGAAAAATTTTATCATTCTGGCGGTGTTAGAACTCATAAAATTATTTTAGCTTATTGTTAACAACTATACTGGTATTACATGCCCCTCCCAAGTAATTATGCCATATCGCTACATTTGAAATGTTATAAAAACTCAAAAAAAAAAAACATTGATAACTTTATATATGAAGGTCACACAGGCTGTTTTCATAAGTATAAACTGAACTTTGACCTGAACTGTTAAGAAGCTTAGGTATACAATGAAACCATCATCGACTAATTCCGTCAAAACAGACGTAGTCAAAAGTCGTAGAATAGGTACTGAATTTGTAGCGCCTGAATATTTCAAAACTCAAGGAACCAATACATAATAATAAATGTAATGGTCATTTAACGATTAAATCATAATTAATAAACTCTTATTCTTTTAAATAGTGTCGCCAACATTGAAATCTTTCATAACCCTTTCAGGAAATTCTCGAAATAGTGTTATGGGCACAAAAATACGCACGCAAACTTTAAAGTTGCGTAAATGCTGTATGTCGTGTTTCTGTAAAATAAAAAGGTTTAGTTGTTGTCGAATTTTGTTTCGAGTTGGACGGACTTTTTCAGTGCAACGTGTGCCAAGTGTAAAAGTGATTGTGAAGGTGTTAGTTTAATGAGTGTATATTAAATTAATTAAGTACATTTTCACTTGGAACTCTTAACTCTTACATACATACATATATTATTAAATTATATTTATCGTTATACGTATATCATTATTAATATAATTTAGGATTTTTTGAACATAAATAACATATAAATGCATGGATAATCATCATCATTTTACAATTACCCTTCACAAATCCACTGCTAAACAGAGGCCTTCCACGAAAGGGTTATAAAAAAATATAGTAACACAAACTAAATCTAAAGTAAGTTGTACAACGGAATATTAGTAAAAGATTATGAAGTGTACCATATATTTGTTATTATTTCTTTTGGTGAAAACGGCGAGTGAAAATAAACTACTATCTTGGATAAAGAAGCTTCCCAAGTCAATTAGAACTCGGCATGACAAGGATGAAAATACTTTCAAAGGTAAAATTATGTTACCGTTACCGTTACAGTTTATCAAAGTCCACTGTTAGCATAGGCCTACCCACAGAAATCGATATTTAGATATAGATATATTTAGATATAGATATATTTAGATATAGACATAATTAGATATAGATATATTTAGATATAGATATATTTAGATTTCTGTGGGCCTACCTTATAAATCGCCTCATATAGGGGATATTTGCTATAGTTGCCACGATTGGCAAGCGGGTTGGCAACCGGAGTTTTTTAATCATTATCTGGAAGACGCTTCATCTCCTGATTTCTTTCCATCTGTCGCCTCCTACGATACCCATGGGATGATATGGGGTAGTGGATATTCTTATATTCTTCCTGCGCAACAGCACGGTAAAATTAGGTATACGAGACTAATTTAAAATTCACGAGTTTGTTGGTTACTTACGTCTTAAGTTGAAATCACAGCGGAAGTGAGTATTTTTGCAATCATACAAAGTGACAAAAGAGACAAAAGAAGAAAGTTGCGATTGTTGCTTGATAAATCGTCCGAGTCTTGCGCGGATACATTTAGTGCCCTAGGATCCTGAGTATTTGAAAGCTTTCAAAAATATTATCACGTTGTTACCATGTTGTTGTGGCAAATTTTAAAGTTAACTACTAGCTTTTTAAAATTAAGCATCTAAGAAAATTTATTTAATATTCGTTTTTTTCTTTAAAAATTTTTTTTTTCGGATAAATTCTATTATACTTACTTTTATTTAATAAAATACGTTCCTTATTTATAGAATTCAAAAAATCTTTAAAACGTTTGCATTGTGAATTTTTTTTATTTCTTTTTGCGACTGTGTAGAATGATCCAAATTAGTAATCCAAAATTGCTAATCTTAAATGCTTTTATTGAATGAAGATCCTAATGCACATAAATTAATCATCCTTTTCATAAAGTTTAATTTAATATAAAATTAGTATTTACTGTTGCAATTATCCTAATTAGTATTTTCTAATACGTTTTTAATTTGTTACTATTTGTTACGTGGTAGAGCCACGCTAAAGCTATATTAGGATCTTTTTAATAGCATTGGATGACAAACGAGCACACAATCTACCTGATGGTAAGTGGATGCTGCGGCTCATAGGTATCCACATTTATCCTCAATAAAGAATCAAAATGCAAATGTATTGTCACCCCTGAGGACTAAGATAAAAGAATGACTCGATTTCAGTAAAAAGGGTCTCCGGTTCTCTACACTCACCATACAAAGTACTACAACATTACGCTACTATTTTACGCTGGTATTCTGTGAGAGCATGGTTTTTTTAATGGAAACGAGGCATTCCATCATAGTCTTCAGGGGTGACACCGCATTTGCATTTTGATTCTTAATCGAAGACAAATGATGATGTCTATGGGTCACAGCATCCACTTACCATCAGATGGACTATGTGTTCGTTTGTCACCCCATTCTATAAAAAATAATTAATAATGCAATTACGTACACTTGCAATTACTATGATAATGATTCATGTATGTAAATTATGATTTATCCTAATATTTTTGATAACGTAATCAATATAGCTCTAAGTCGCATTATTTATTTAAGATTATTAATTGTTCCAGGTTGTGGTATAGCAGTAAACAAGCAGACAGCCCAGCGGCGCATTGTTGGTGGAGATGACGCTGGATTTGGAACTTTCCCCTGGCAAGCTTACATCCGAATTGGATCCTCCAGGTTTCCTTGACTTTATCCATAAATATAAGTAGTAAATACCATTAAATACGTTTTAAATTATTCACTGATCTTAAAAATATAAATTCAGAAGCGGCGATTTTAATCTTTAAATACATAGGTACGTGGGTGGTCTGTAAGGTTTCTGACCTATCAAAAATACAAGACATTTTTTCTTAAAATTTATTTTTATATCCACAGTCTCCTCGTAACTCTGCACTCTTCTCCCAACGATGCTCCCATCTCTCTAACCCGTCCAAATAGTACTCAGCGTTTTTATTTGCAAAATAACTTTTCACGAAGGTTACTGCCTCCTCATTTGACGAAAATCTCTGCCCTTCGAGTGCAATTTTTAGATTAGGACGCGTTGTCGTTGTTAAAAAGGATTTTCTTTTTCTTCAAATTTGGCCGTTTTACCGCAATTTATGCCTTCATTTTGTCAAGTAATGATGCGTAGTGTGCCCCTGTAATGTCTTTTCCTTTTTGAGGATAAATAATCCATTAAGATAGAAGTTACAGCCTATATACGTCCCACTGCTGGGCACAGGCCTCCGCTCATTTCTGAGAGGGGTTTAGGGCAAGGAAGTGTCCGCCGCGCTGCCCCAATGCGTGTTGGTGAACTTCACATGTGTTCGAAATATTTTTTCCTTCATCATCATCATCATCATCATTACAGCCCTTCACAAGTCCACTGCTGAACATAGGCCTCCTCCAAGTAATGCCACAAAGCACGGTCCTGAGCCACCTGCATCCATCGACTTCCTGCATGTCTTACCAGGTCGTCACTCCATCTAGTGGGGGTCGCCCTACACTACGCCTACCGGTACGAGGCTGCCACTCGAGAACCTTTCTTCCCCATCGGTTATCGGTTCTTCGAGCTATATGGCCGGCCCATTGCCACTTCAGCTTATTTCTCTGAAATATAGGTTTCCTCACGATGTTTTCCTTCACCGCCGAGCACGTGGTAAATTAGCACTTAAAATTGCAATTAACAATTTCATTGGTGCCGGCGGGATCGAACCCGGTTTGCTCGCGTACTTTGAAATTTACAGCGAACCCTAACCATCTGAGCCACCACGGCCATTAAGATAACTCCATGACTATTCCAAAAAACAGTCGCCAACACTTTCCCAGCCGAAAAAACAGTTTTTGCTTTTTTTAGAGCTGGTTACACCATTTCAGTCAACTGCTTTGACTGTATTTTTGTTTTGGGCGTATAATGGTGTATCCAAGATTCATCTGCATTAATTAATCGGTGCTTAAACTCGGATTTATCGCGCCTAAACTGCGCCAATAGAGCTTTGGAAATGTTTATTCGAATACGTGTTTGTTCTAACGTGAGCAAAGGCACCGAACGCGTTGACAGCTTTTTCATGCCTAAATCTTGATTTAATATATGATAAACACGTTCTTTGGACATTTTCATAGTCTCTGCTATCTCTCTCACTTTAATTCGGCGGTCGTCTAGCATCCTTTGGCGAACTTTAGCGATGTTATCGTTATTAGTTGCAGTTTTTGGGCATCCTGAACGTTCATCGTCTCCCAAGCTCCCAACGAAACGTTTCAATTTATCTGCCCAAAATTTCACTGTGTATGTCCCCATAGTCATGCAGAGTCCTCATACACACATAGTCCAACTTATCTTTGATTTGCGTAGGAGTATTGCCTTTCAAAAACAAAAAATAATGACAGCTCGACACTCATTTTTTTCCATTTTCACAAAAACACTCACATCGATCAATCAAACGACTGTCAAATAACAACTACGCGAACAAAATGGCTGAAATTTTGTTGCGTTTGATTGACGAGTGCTGCCATAGTCACGTTGAGGTCGGAAACTTTTCAGACTACCCTGATAATTAGATACTCATTTACTTTAAGCTATAATGTCCTCCATACTGAATCGCGGTCACAGCGGCCATAATTATAGTGACTAAGTGTAAGCGCAGTCTGATGGGATGGTCATCAGACACGACCGGAGAGAGATCAGGCGCAGGACCAACGGCTTTACATGCTCTGCGAGGCACGGGTGTGAAACGCCGCTCGCTATCTTCTTGACTCCGAGCAGCTATTTTTGACAGAAAAACTCTATAATTGATTTTTTTGTCCAACTAAGGATTTGAACACGGGATGATTGTTGATTTTACGGACACTAGACCAATGACCAACAAGATAGTCAAATTTAAACTGTATTAGTGTTGTGAGCTTAATATTAGAATAAACATTAATGAATGTTAAAAATTAATTAGTTAATTTTAATGGTTTCCGCAAAGTTACATCTGATAATTCATAATAAAATTAGTTATTGTGAACCTAAATTTAAGTTATCACAACATCATTAACCAACTAAAAACACTAAAATTCGTTAACAATGCAACACATTCCGCACTCATCTATAAAATATGTATCATTCACTACACGTTTTGTTTTAAATAATGTTGTAAATTGTGATATTTTGTTAATTTGTTAGCTGTTTTAAAATAATGGTGCTACTTGCAATTTATACCTGGCTTTATGTATAGTATGTGGCTCGAGAAAAGATCTCAAGATAAAATGCGATTTTAATTTTATAGTTTTGCATGAACGTGTTAACTTGCAATAGGTAGAAACTTTTTTGCAATAATAAGGCTGCACTAAAAGTATCGGGAATGGAATATTTCCACTGTTCCTGTCATATTGAAATCTTTTTAATTAAAAACTACTTGGTTTTAAAAATCGAATACCATTTATTTATTTAAAAAAAGATTATCGGTCTTGTCACAAGGTTTTGTCAAACTTGTTTAGTCGTTGCTAAAATGTGATTGACTCGAGGAAATTCAAGAGCGATGATTTATTATGACTTTCGAAGTGGTTTAACACAAAAACAGTGTGTTGACCGGATGATTTCTGCATTTGGTGATGAAGTTCCATCCAAAACCACAATTTATCGCTGGTTTGCTGAATTTCAACGTGGACTTGTCAAGCTCAGTGATGACCCCCTTAAAGGTCGTCCAAAAACTGCAGTCACCCAAGAAAACGTTGATGCTGTGCGTAAGCTGATTGACGAAAATCGACATGTGACATACCGCGAAATTCAGGCAACTTTAGACATTGGCATGAGTCAAATACAAATAATCTTGCATGAACAATTAGGTGTAAAAAAGTTGTTTTCCCGATGGATACCGCATTCGCTCTGTGAAGAGCAAAAAAGCGGCTCGCGTTACTAAGTGCATCAGAACTCTCGAAAGATTCCACGCAGGATCCTCAAATGCTGTATACAACATTGTATCAGGTGACGAATCCTGGATATACGCGTACGAACCCGAAACAAAAAACCAGTCACGAGTTTGGGTGTTCGAAAATGAGTTAAAGCCAACAAAAATTGTTCGTTCACGGAGTGTTGCAAAAAAAATGGTGGCCACGTTTGTCTCCAAAACCGGCCATGTTACGACTATTCTTCTTGAGGGACAAAGAACGGTTAATGCAGAATGATATGCTAGCATTTGTTTGCCACAGGTCGTTTCTGAACTTCGTAAAGAGAACTGCAACCGCCGCATCATCCTCTATCACGACAATGCGAGTTGTCACACCGCACACAGAACAAAAGAGTTTTTAGAGCAAAAAAACATAGAATTATTAGACCATCCGCCATACAGCCCTGACCTAAGCCCTAATGATTTCTATACTTTCCCTAAAATAAAGAATAAATTGCGTGGATAAAGATCTTCATCACCTGAAGAAGCTGTGGACGCCTACAAAACGGCCATTTTGGAGACCCCAACTTCAGAATGGAATGGTTGCTTCAATGATTGGTTCCATCGTATGGAAAAATGTGTCAAATTTCGCGGAGAATACTTCGAAAAGCAATAAATACATTTTTAAATAGTAATGTTGTGTCACTTCCTTGATTCCTGAAATTTTCAGTGCCGCCCTCGTACACAAAACACTTAGAGGGTTAAATGATTTGCAAATAAATATTAAATATAGCTAATAACGCTTTAAGCATATTGTTACAAACTTGCAATATTAGCTAGTGCTAATTACAATTTGAAATAATTAAAAATATACGTCGATAAAATACAATAATGGAAACATACATTACATTTATCGATACTTACTTGAAAATTTGATTTTTGTGTTTTATGTTTAGGTATATGAAAAAAAACAGCTAACAATTTTTTTATTACAGAGGGTCAAAATAAGATCTAATATTATATTACTACTCTTCATGTAAGATCTACACAAGTAATTGCTTTATAATAAAGGTCTTTTTGACCCTCCTGTACAAGTTCAGTTTCAAGAGCCGATGCATTTCAGTAACTTAAATTATGACTTTGATCGACTTTAAAAGGAGGAGGTAACCAAATCAACTTGATCTATATCTTTATTCAAAATATAATAAAGATATAGATCAAAATATCTACGAAAATATGGTCAATATTTATTACAGTTAACATAGATTATGCAAATTTTTATATTATCTTAATTCATACTCTTATTTCCACCTTGGTCTCAAAATAATTTGATTTATTTTTAAAAAGTTTAAAAAATACCAAATAAAATCATTTAAACTAGAGTACATGGCTACGCATACCTGCGTGAAGGGGCAAGGATGGGTTATGTCGGACTCGCAACAACTAAAATGAGGTTTTAGTGTTCCAGCTTCACCGCCGCCGCTTATAAGCAGGGTCACGGTAAGTTGGTAAGGTGGTCACCCAAGTAATGATCACCCCTTGGTGATCATTACGTGGGTGATGACAACTTCTGACTGATTAAATTATTAAAGCAAAGTACGCGTGCTTTCATCGAAGGCTTCCATTTCAACCTGCGCAACGCCCCCCCAACCCCAAGTCGGAAACTATGGCTAGGTGAAACTAGTATTCGTAACCAGCACTTTCTATTCGTCCTAAACCTTTCGTAATATAAACATTTTATACATAGCTTGATTGGTTAATAGAAGCTTTAGTAATACTAATTGTAGTGCCAGAATACTTGCTTTATAATAAAAAATGAAGTGGTGAGAG